CTTAAAGTGAAAATGGTATATATATATATATATATATATATATATATATATATATATATGCCTACGTTCTCTGCAGGACCCGTCGTCGCACTGGTAGTGGTCCCTAGTGGCCTCGCTCATGACTCACTATGACTCTCTTAAGGCAGATAAATGCCTCGCCATCTTATATATACATATATATATAGTACTGTACTAACAGTACAATTGGTAGTGTGCCATTACGTAGGGATAAATATAATGCAACAATTATAACGAAATAGAGAGGGTCAAAACTTCAACCTTTAGTCATAAGCAAAGTCTCACCTTTTCATGGCATGTCCGAAAGGGTTTCCTGCCAAGTATCATGGTGTTTGCCCCCCCCCCCCCGCAGACGGGGTGTGGAGTGCTCTGACCGCGATCAAATGTGAGGTTAACGCCTTCATACTCTTATCTCAAGTCATTCATTGTCCACTTTGACTTCTCTTCCAACCGACTTCGGTGCACGGTTAGGCAAACGCTCAGTAGTCATGCGAATCACATGCCTGGCCACCGAAACCTATTCGGTGGACTCAGCTTGCATTGACGCCAGATATGGTACAGATTAGCAAACGCAACCCGGGCCTTAGAGACGCGCAACGAGACCTCGTCTTTTAAACAACATTAGCGCTGATGCAGCTTCCGTGGTAAGTGAGCTTGTCCACCACTTCCAGAGTGATCTACAGTGGTAAGGGTGGGAGCAAATCCTTACCAGTCTTGTACGAATACCTTACACTTCGAAAGTTGGTCATTCCAAACTGGAGGCAAACACTGCCAACATACACAAGATAGTTTGGACGTCCTGTGAGGAATCACTAATTACGGCGATGTTGTCTGCATACTCCGGATCGCGATGTCGCTCCCCCGGAAACATTTCAACGCCACTAGGTCCGCAATGCTCCAGGATGTCATCAATAGCGACATTGTACAGGAAAAGTAATGCTAGGCAACCTTGTCTCACGCCACTGGTGATATTAAAAGGCGTCTAAAATCCGCCGTACACCCGCTTTCGGCGCGAGGTCCGAGTACAAATGGCTCAGAGATGTTGACATACTTTTCGGGTACCCCTTTTCTCAAGAGAGCTCCATAGAGCAGGTCTATCAACTGAGTCAAATGCGACTCTTATGTCTAAGAAGACAACGATCGTTAGCTGGCCGAACGTAGAACCCCACTCGAATATTTAACGGAGTGTAAAGATATGATCGATACAATTCCAGACGGAGCGGAACCCAGCTTGCTCTTCGCGTGTGTTCTGTTTGCGTACCAAGCTGAGCCCCCTTAAAAGCAAGGCGGCATGCACTTTAGATGCAACGCTGATGAAACTGCTACCTCTGTGGTTAGAGCAGTTTGCCTGGACGGGATTGCTTCGGTGGTCCAAACCTGTTGGAAGAGGGACGTTAGCTCACGAACGAGTGATGAGCCTCCATCTTTGAAACGGGCCATAGGGAGTTCCTCCTGATCAGGGGCTTTGTAGCGCTTTAGAGGGCGAAGCTCACGAGCAACCTCAGCTTCAAAAGGTGATGGTGGTGAGAGTGATCTCGATTACTGAATGGGAACACAGCGGTGCTGCAAGCCATTTGAACTACTGCTCAAATTGCTCAATCCAAAATGCAAGTCGACGTTGTTGGTATTGGATTCACTCGCTGTTAGTTTAACACAAAACTTCGCTTACATTCGGCTTTTTCCCGCAAGTGGATCGCAGCAGGTGGAAAAGCTTTTGGAAATTCCCCGAGCTTGCTGCCTGCTCCATATCAATGACCCGTTGCATTCACCAGGCATCGCGATTCTCCTTGTGAAGCTGTACAAGTTCAGTGTTAATGGTCCTGCGTATTGAATGATAACGCCAATAGAAATTGCCTGACGAACTTCGAGAAGTTGGACACGTCGTGCAGAGATCCATTGGTTGGTAGGACTACTGGTGAAGCCATAGACCAGGGTCGCAAAGTTGTGCATGGCACTGCGGGTATGTGTCCAGCGCGTTCCAAGGTCAGGGAATGGGGCGCCGTTGAAATTTGAGGTCAACACATCCTTAAACTCGCTATGAACACAGAAAGTTTGGCTACGTCAAACCGTGTCCGGCGTCGCCGTTGGGAGCCACCAAAACGTAAACCAATCTTGGCACACACGAGTACGTGATCTAAAGGGAACTAAGTACTTCAGATTGATTTGCAATTTTGTATGCAGTCCCGCCGACGATAACTGATAGCGACGTGGTCAATTTGCGTTCAGGCTGGCCAGCTGACGGAGGCCTTGAGTTCGCGCGTTGATGCCAGGATCGCCTAAAGCTAGTACTTGACGAAGTGCCCGTGATCAGCGCAGAGGTGAATTAGGTGATCACTGATATCTGTACTGCGTTAGCAAAGAGTAGAGAAAGAGAGCAGACAGTCGTTGCAGCGTTGGTCCAAAGGTTATGTGGGCATGTAGCTTCCCTGTTGTCCAGACGCAGGAAGAGGGTTGACTTAGGAGACCTCATCCAAATCCTTTGGTCTCAAAGACGTGACTCGTAAGGCAACGGGACGATTGACTTATAACATATATCATTGGGACCTGGCTATTAGGACAAGAATAACACATCGACGTGGCTCATGCACCTTTTACAGAAGCCGGTGGCCATCGATATAGTTCATTCGTCCTCCGTTGCATAGTCACTTTTGGTCGCAGAAGTGAGTTGCCAGTGACGCTATAATCGGTCACCTTGGCTTTGACACAGTGTTTTACGTGCTCCTGTACTATTTACTGAGAAACCATGAAACCAGCCCAGTACCCTCACGCTCTAGGACGCTCTCGCTGATTGTCCGCGACTGCTTATTCATCTCGCCAGTGAATAGTCGAGACTTTTTCACAGTTACCTTCTCAAGGAAGGTGTTCCCCGATCCGCAACCTGGGAACGCGCCCGGTGGCGTACAGCTCTGCCAAATGAACCAGTAGTCAGTTCACTTCCGGGATCAGATGACCCCTTAAACATGTCGATGAAGAGGGTACCAAGTGACAATTCCATCGTGTTATCACTAAACTCTACTGTTGAGTTAAATATGGATCTTGAATGTGCATCCAATTAACAGTTCCTTCACAACAATATTGGATGTTCGAAGAAAGTAGAAGCCACGATTAAAATTCACGCACAATAATATGCCTCGACGGGGAGTCGAACCCCGGTCCACGAATTTCCGGTCCGCTGCTCTACCACCTGAGCTACCGAGGGCTGACGATTAGGTGCGCAAATTTTAACACATATCTTCTGCTTGGTGCGCGACGTTTTGCCAATAAGCTCACAGTACCTGTCCTGATGTTGCAGATTGGCTCACTCACCCGTCACTTCCCAATAGACCGAAGTTTCTGTCCTTCAGACGTCCAATGGGCGATGGTAGATTAATGGTGGATGTTTGTGAGTAGTGTAAAGTTCGAAGAAAGTAGAAGCCACGATTAAAATTCACGCACAATAATATGCCTCGACGGGGAGTCGAACCCCGGACCGGAAATTCGTGGACCGGGGTTCGACTCCCCGTCGAGGCATATTATTGTGCTTGGATTTTAATCGTGGCTTCTACTTTCTTCGAACTTTACACTACTCACAAACATCCACCATTAATATTGGATGTGCCAATATTTGCCTGGTTTTCCTAGTTTCAAGTATCGACACGTTAATAAGCTATGAGTTGACATCGTCACACTTATAACATTCATTTCACGCACGGGGTCCACGTATTCGAAACTTCGATTTAGGCTGTGCATAGCAACAGTCGAGTGGCACAGTGAGTTCATCTCCATATCCTAGTATTGTTCAACTACGCATTTAGGAAAGATTGTAGAGCGTGGGAATGACAGTACCTATGGTCTATAGGTTCTCCTTAATGCACTCACCGTCTTTGGGCTCTTTTAGGGAATTACGTATTCTACTTCCGATCTTCTTTATCCTATCTTTGTCATTTGTCCTCATTTTTGGTAACTTCCTCTCTGTCAGTAGTCTATTCGTTTTACTGCTCATAATGACCGTGCTTGCACCGCGAGAATCAAGAAGCTATTCGATGCATTTAACGAACACCAGGCCAACCACGATGCAACATTCACAATCCCCATGCGCAGTCAAAGGAATCACACTCTCAAGCTCCTCATGGTCGTTATTATCGATCGTCAGAGCCCACCGTCCTGTGTTCAAAGAACAGCTGACAATGGCACTGAGCTTACCGTGATCTTACATGTAACGTATCAATCAGATAACCACTGGTCACCAATTAATTTCCTGCGATTGCTTTGTATCCTTTGCTAAATGTTTATACGTGACCGATGAGAGTGCACCAAATGACAGCGTCATCTTCCGATATTCTCTCTTACACTATTATCGAACTTCATCATGAAAACTTCACCTCTGTCAACTAAATGGTTGCAAATCTGATTGTGCTCACATCTCACTGTGGTGTTATGCTTTACCCGAACTTATCAATACTAGCAATGTACTTGCACCAGTAACGCTTTGAACTCTTCAACATGCGTATTATAGGACAGGACCAGTTGTGAAGTACGCGAATATACTTCTTTAAGTGGTGCGTCTGTTATCATTCTTTTGAGCATCCATATGAGAAGATAGAACTTAGCGTCACAATGGCGTAACCGCAGTCTCGGCACAAGCATGCCATTCACGATACAATTGTCTTACCGGAAAAATCTCTGGCCTTCCTTTTATTTGCACGCGTTCCAGGGCGAATCACATGGCTTTGCTCTGTTTTACACTAATTTTCTTTTACCGCTCTCTCTACCTCCACGATAAGTGATCGATTCTGGTCACGGTTGTTGTCTGACTGACTGAGCGATGGTCGCTTACAATATCCGGTTGGATACCTAAGTGATGAATGGCTTTTTGTTCGCTTACTAAGTTGACAGTGGACATTACATGCTTATTCAGATGGTTATTAGAATGCTAAGTGATGACTGGCGCCACTTGGTTCACACAGACCCTTCATTCTATTGGATGAGCCTGTAGTTTCTCTTTTCACTCTTGGTTGAAGCTACTCGCAATTTCTTGCGGTTGGATAACTATTGGTTTGGTTAATTGCTCCTGACATCTCGGCTTTATAACTGCTTCATCTATGTCTATGTTCTCAATTGCGTCACACTTTCAACTATGATTACCCGAAATCTCGTTTTTGTACAGCTTTCCTACTTTGGTCTGGCTTCAACTGCTTTTCCGCATCTGTTAGTCCAATTCATTTTCCTCTCTCCGTCTAGACACAGCGGGTTGCCTCCACCGCTTATTCGCAAGAAAACCATTGCCCCCAAACCGCCGGTACAGCCACCTCCGAATTCCTTGAGCATTCCTGCGCCAAACGCTTCTCGACTACTCTCGACCAATCAGACTGTACCATGTGATACGCGCAGCGCATCTCCTGTGGTGCTTGACACCAAATCGCTCGACGTTAACTCCGTTAATGATGCCAGTCCCAGTATAACCGATGCGGATCATCGTTCGGTCTCTCAACCAAAAGATGATCGCCCAAAGCGACCCTTGCCACCTTCGGTATATCACTGTAAATAACCTGCCTTTTAATACTTTGCTTGCAGTTCGCATGAAGTGCACGTGAAAGGTGCTCACGTTTTGTTGCCAGTGATTTTGGATATCAATGCTTCTGTCTTTCTCATCCTTTTGCTTTATCGATAAACCCCGAGTGTCTTTCATATCGGCATCCAAAAAGGAGTTACATGCTCCCCGAACTCAGCTACGAGTGCGGATTTTATCCGTTAGACACTTGTTAGCCTTCTATCTTCCTCACATTCCGGACACGAACCATTTTCCTGCTTTGTATCATTCTTAATGTGTACCTTCAGCTGTGACTGTGACTGTTTCGACTCCGCCGAATGATGGTCAGCCAGTGCGACGTCGGAGGAGCACTGGAAGTGTTTCCCATATACCGCGCCGTCGCACCCTAAGAAACAGCTGTCTATTCTTTTCGAGTAATCTACCCTTTTCTCTCGGTCTATTTTTGTACTCATTCCTTATCAATATACGGACTATGGCGATTCCCTTTGTCTACTTGTTGAATATGTTGGAACACCTTGACGGCCTCTTGAGAACTGATTGGTTTCTTGCTTTGGCAGCCATCACACACACATTTCAAATTTGTCATAAAGTGCGCAAGTCACCATTCATGTCCGTTGTTTTTCTGTTATTTCTCCCTTTGGTACGCTCAACCGATCGATCCGTTTTTCTCGCGGATTGATACTTATCCACTTAGTTGTCTGGCAGCCACAACTACGGCTGCCGCCAAAGAAGGCGTCGCATCTATCGCATCCGTCTTTCACACTCAGCGCTATTTCAACAAGGTGCGAATTGTCATTATGGTCTTAACTGTGACAGCTCCTTCCATTAATATTCGACGACGACTACTATAGGGGAGTTGGGAACTAACGCAATCAGAACCACGTGGACTGACAATTTCGATAAACATTACATCAGTTTATCCAACATAAATGCAACCAGTTTTAGACACCAATGCGCGATGTATATTACATTTGTCTAGTAAACCATGGGAACGCAATCCTGGTTTTACTGCCCTTTCCGACGACGTCGAACGAGACGTCTACCATCAATTGGTTTCGCTCTCCGAGAGTCGACTGACGCTTACGGTGGACAAGAGTCCTATCAGTAAAGTGGTCACGATAAGGACTTGACAGCTTATCAACAGTGGAATCGTTAAGATGGGATGAGCACTTTTCCACTACGCTTAATGTTTCATCATAGATGTCCCATCCTTTCGCCGCACGGCGTGAAACGTCACATGTTAACCAACCATCTTTGATGCACTAATAGTAGGTGTATTTCTAAACATGAGCCGATGAAAAGGTGATAGGATAACTGAGCGAACCGAGTATATGCAGAACTCCATAGTTACGTCACTGTTCTGACAAATTGCACTACTATCCTCGCGACTAATGTTTACCTTGGGGTCGAAAAGGAACCGGGCAATACTCTGCGAACTTCTTATTTCCCATAATAACCCTACTGATGTAATCGGCCAGTCCGCATCCAACTCTTCTTTCTTCCGCCCTATTCACAGGCACAACATCCAATACGAGCCCCATTGAGGTTCGTCAATAGTGCGCATTACCTCGGTCCCCTACAGGGAATACGCCCCACTGACGAGCTTCAATAGGGCAAAACGATCGTCTGTTGCTTTTCCGGATGAGGGATTAAACTGTCTGGCATGTGAGCTGCTGGAAGGAACCAACAAATCCGCGTTAACATAAGTCGGGCAACAAGCGGTTTGGTTTTGTCCATACAGTCTCTTAAAGTAAAATGTTTGACGCAACTATTGCTACACAGATTGCGTGGCCATTCCCATCACCGTATAGTAAATTGTTAGGTCTGCTGTTATAAGCCCATAAAAACCGGCAGCTCAGGAGAAAACACGGCGCCCTAACAGCTGTGCACTTCAGCGTTCCCCCATCGCAGCCAAGAATAAATAAATTTGTATATTTACCGACAAACGGTACACGACCCCATAAGTGGGAGCGATCATTTGTATAATGAATACGTTTCATAATATTAAAGAAAAGTTTGTTAATAGAATTTCGGATCATGATTTCTTTTTCCTTGGGTGCTAGACCCGTGCACCTCATATGTAAAATCTGCGGATGTTTGTATCATCAGGAGTAGATAATAAAGGGAGGGACTACTAGGCTGCAAAGACACGGGATTTGGTATGGTATGTAATGACATGTAGTGAGTAAGCTAGCTGTAAGCAAATATCTTCTCATATTTTTTATACCAGCTTCTGTCAATGTTTCTAGTCTGCTGTGAGTCAAATATCTTCAAAACATTTGGTATAGTGAGGAACGTCTGAAGGAGATTTCGAAACGTGACATGACTTGTACACATGCGTATCTGTAGGGGTATTTTGTTCCACAGATCAGTGTATCTCACTAAGAAGAAATTCGACCGAGTTTTATGACTTGAAAGGTTTGTACGTATCAAGTAGCCGCCATTACGTGTGGGGTACACTGCAGTCTTCCGTAGTCCAAGTGCGGTGCTGTCTGCGTAAATTCGTTGGTTTATAATATTATAGAAGAGAACGAGGTTGTTCCTTAAGCGTCTCAGCCAAAGTGGATCCAGCTAGAGTTTTCGACAGCGATCATAATAAATCAGGTTTGAGCAGCGTCCCATAACCAGTTTGGTAAATGATCGTTGGACATTTTCCAGAGCCGTTCTGTCTTTCTTTCTCAATTGGCTGTGAACGATAGTACGGTATTCCAGAGTCGGTCGTACTATTGTCTTGAATGACTCAAGTCGTGCTTCAGGTAGGAAGAAAGTTCTAGTGATATATCCGCATAACTGCCTTGCTTTTGCAACTTGATTAAGTACAAGTTCGGAGAAATTGAAAGAGATGGAGTACCTAATTCCTAATTCCCGAACTGAGTCAGATGTTGGGAACACGTTTCCCGCAAGTATGATGGAGCCTTCTGGAATGTGACATCTGTACTTGGGATTTCACTGCGGAGAACATTAATAAACGCTCACTAGCTATATTTAATGCGGATAAGTATTCACAGATGTTCCCCAAACATATATGCAGTTGGTCTGGATGAGATGAGTAAACCAATTTGACATCATCTGCAAACAAAAATGGGTGTCCATGTTTGATCGGGTCACATACATTGTTTACGTCGAACGAGACGTCTACCATCAATTGGTTTCGCTCTCCGAGAGTCGACTGACGCTTACGGTGGACAAGAGTCCTATCAGTAAAGTGGTCACGATAAGGACTTGACAGCTTATCAACAGTGGAATCGTTAAGATGGGATGAGCACTTTTCCACTACGCTTAATGTTTCATCATAGATGTCCCATCCTTTCGCCGCACGGCGTGAAACGTCACATGTTAACCAACCATCTTTGATGCACTAATAGTAGGTGTATTTCTAAACATGAGCCGATGAAAAGGTGATAGGATAACTGAGCGAACCGAGTATATGCAGAACTCCATAGTTACGTCACTGTTCTGACAAATTGCACTACTATCCTCGCGACTAATGTTTACCTTGGGGTCGAAAAGGAACCGGGCAATACTCTGCGAACTTCTTATTTCCCATAATAACCCTACTGATGTAATCGGCCAGTCCGCATCCAACTCTTCTTTCTTCCGCCCTATTCACAGGCACAACATCCAATACGAGCCCCATTGAGGTTCGTCAATAGTGCGCATTACCTCGGTCCCCTACAGGGAATACGCCCCACTGACGAGCTTCAATAGGGCAAAACGATCGTCTGTTGCTTTTCCGGACGAGGGATTAAACTGTCTGGCATGTGAGCTGCTGGAAGGAACCAACAAATCCGCGTTAACATAAGTCGGGCAACAAGCGGTTTGGTTTTGTCCATACAGTCTCTTAAAGTAAAATGTTTGACGCAACTATTGCTACACAGATTGCGTGGCCATTCCCATCACCGTATAGTAAATTGTTAGGTCTGCTGTTATAAGCCCATAAAAACCGGCAGCTCAGGAGAAAACACGGCGCCCTAACAGCTGTGCACTTCAGCGTTCCCCCATCGCAGCCAAGAATAACTAAATTTGTATATTTACCGACAGACGATACACAACCCCATAAGTGGGAGCGATCATTTGTATAATGAATACGTTTCATAATATTAAAGAAAAGTTTGTTAATAGAATTTCGGATCATGATTTCTTTTTCCTTGGGTGCTAGACCCGTGCACCTCATATGTAAAATCTACGGATGTTTGTATCATCAGGAGTAGATAATAAAGGGAGGGACTACTAGGCTGCAAAGACACGGGATTTGGTATGGTATGTAATGACATGTAGTGAGTAAGCTAGCTGTAAGCAAATATCTTCTCATATTTTTTTATACCAGCTTCTGTCAATGTTTCTAGTCTGCTGTGAGTCAAATATCTTCAAAACATTTGGTATAGTGAGGAACGTCTGAAGGAGATTTCGAAACGTGACATGACTTGTACACATGCGTATCTGTAGGGGTATTTTGTTCCACAGATCAGTGTATCTCACTAAGAAGAAATTCGACCGAGTTTTATGACTTGAAAGGTTTGTACGTATCAAGTAGCCGCCATTACGTGTGGGGTACACTGCAGTCTTCCGTAGTCCAAGTGCGGTGCTGTCTGCGTAAATTCGTTGGTTTATAATATTATAGAAGAGAACGAGGTTGTTCCTTAAGCGTCTCAGCCAAAGTGGATCCAGCTAGAGTTTTCGACAGCGATCATAATAAATCAGGTTTGAGCAGCGTCCCATAACCAGTTTGGTAAATGATCGTTGGACATTTTCCAGAGCCGTTCTGTCTTTCTTTCTCAATTGGCTGTGAACGATAGTACGGTATTCCAGAGTCGGTCGTACTATTGTCTTGAATGACTCAAGTCGTGCTTCAGGTAGGAAGAAAGTTCTAGTGATATATCCGCATAACTGCCTTGCTTTTGCAACTTGATTAAGTACAAGTTCGGAGAAATTGAAAGAGATGGAGTACCTAATTCCTAATTCCCGAACTGAGTCAGATGTTGGGAACACGTTTCCCGCAAGTATGATGGAGCCTTCTGGAATGTGACATCTG